GACACGCTAATAAACACATTTTATAACATGACCACGGTGCATATTATACACAATAGTGACGTAATTAGTGAAAAGTCTGTGAGTCTCAGTGTTACGCGGACATGCGTGATTTAGAACAGTACGTGGAGAAAAACATTACCGCGAAGACGTGTATTTTTTCTTTCGATTTCGAAAACCATCGGCTTTTGATTTTAAAGTGGAGACACAAATTTGGATTTACCGTAATCTTTGATGTATACACATACTTATAAAAACTTGTAACTGCTGTGTTTATTCTATATGAACGCATGTGTCTTACGGCTTCATTTTTGTCGCGTTTCACATTAAACACGTTTGGGTAGTTAGTAAAACTTAATAGCCCTGGGAACATTGGTGGTACATAGAATATTCCAAAAAAAAAGCCCACATCAGCACTACCTAAAACGATCTAAGATTTACTCCCTCAATGAGATTGTTGCTGATGAAGAGCAGAAATAGTCCTTATCCATCTGATAAATGTTTCGTGACATTATGCTATGTGAGCATCAGCAGTACGGTATTGACTAATAGAAGAACCACGGCAACGAAAAAAATATAAACGTGCTTTTAACAGTCAAACATTTTCAACGAAATACCTAATCCTGCGGCTCCATCTTCGTTGCATTATACACCAAGCACGTTCGACTATTTAGTAAAACTACGCGACGCATTGAACCAGGAAAACTCTTCTGTTGTGTAGAAAATCACCAGGACCCGCGTTCTGTAGCCGCTCCGGGCGCGATTTACAAACAGGGAATGGTCACAAATATCCCGAGATATACAGATTAAAAATCGTACTTGATATTTTTTTTCAAATTGTCACTTCAATATTGAATAATCTGGGGGCGATCGTTGAGGCACAGGCTGGTTTCAGAAGTGAATGATTGGTAACAGTTTCTTCAATCCATTGCACAATTATAGATCATAACTGTGTTAATTATAAATAATGAATATATATCATTTAATATATTCTAATTCAATTTCGGGAAGCATTCAGTACTATCTCAAATGACAACACATTTGTGTGCATTCTGGTTACTATAATGATTTTACCCTATTTAATTCCTAGTAAGGTGTCCAGGTGGCATAGGTAAGCATTATGGTTGTCGTGTTTGAGAGATGGTGTATGGAATATATTTGTAAAGAATGTCCACCCTCGCTCGGAATGACTGCCAGTTTTGTCTGTGGTTATATCACACACGGTTACAATGTTACAGTCAATCCACTCAAATATATAAAAGTAAACTATGTTCCCTCGTGGCATAATGGTGCGCCCCAATTCAGTTACACGCTGATTTTGAAATACTTGTATTATTGGGAATAACTATGATATCATTTACCTGTTGTCCCTATTTTAATTGGAATAACTTGGATTAAAATTGGTTTATTCCTCAGTCTCGACCTGAACCGAACCTGTAGCACTAGCATCCTGAATTCTGATTCCTGGTCCCAGTGAGATGTTCCATGTATGCACTCCAATTCCAATGATGTAGACTGGTGACTAGCGCCCCCTGGTGTGTATTTGTTAAATCAGAAAAACCTTGTATATTGTGTTGTGAATTATTGTATTTATAGATAATACCACAGTGTAAGGCCTGCTTATTTCTATTGAGAGGGCCACCAACAGAACTCGTACTGGACAGGGAGTTCTTTCACTGCCAGAATAGGGTAGACAAGACAATAGTACTTGAAATTAAATACACATACATCAAAATATAAAGTTAAAGCTCCTGGCTTTAATATTTCTCAAAATAATTACAAGAAACAAAACACAGAATATTACAATTCATAAATTCACTAAAGTAGAGGATTGCGAAGAGAAGTGTGCATTGGTGATAACTCACAGTTCCAGGATGTAGAAATGGCTTCTGCAACTCAACAACGAAGAAACACGGGAGTCTTGCTTGCAGGAGAACGCTGTTATTCTGGAGGGCAGTTCATGCAAATCTCACAGAATGATAATTAAAGCGAAAATGGCCCAGATTCAGGTACACCACCTGGGTTTCTACAGGAGTCAATCAGAATGTAGTCTTGCCAGCAGCTGTCTCACAATGACACGCATGCAGTCACGTAGGCAAGTCAGTAGATCGTAAACATCCTTTGTTATGTAAATCACAAGCACACCTGGTAGATTCCAATTGTCCTTCCAGAGTTGTAAACAAGTATGACCGTCAATCACCTTTATGGCAGTTACCGCATTGCAATGCACACCGTTTCTTCCCATGATTCCATGCACACTTATATTTGCAAGGTTTGAGGTAATAGAAAAAAAACATGCACTGAAGGATACATTTCCCTCTTCACTTGTGACACAGTACGTTTTGCTAAACGGTGAAAATAACAGAGACACATAAGCATGCTACCGGAGAAGTTTAATATTATAATTAATAAACAACACTCATAATATATTAATTATACACAGTTTAAACTCTACCTTCGTGATCATAGTCAAATGTATACCTGTTAATTCAGACATTACACCAGCGCGTCGATCGATACTCCCGCTGTACTGTATCTCCCTCTTCACTTGTGACACAGTACGTTTTGCTAAACGGTGAAAATAACAGAGACACATAAGCATGCTACCGGAGAAGTTTAATATTATAATTAATAAACAACACTCATAATATAGTAATTATACACAGTTTAAACTCTACCTTCGTGATCATAGTCAAATGTATACCTGTTAATTCAGACATTACACCAGCGCGTCGATCGATACTCCCGCTGTACTGTATCTCGGTATCTTCGTAATAACCTCATATTATATCCCAAACGATAATCAACGTATTTTACCTATATGAATTATATATTTTGCAAACAGTGTGTACTTTAAAGACCGATGAAATATTATGTCGTCCGGAGAAACCCATAGTTTGCGAATCCGTCTGATATTATATATTCTGTAATTCATTTCACATAGATTAGTTTCTTAGCTCTCAAACTATTCGATAAATTACATGTTACTAGTTTCTCTGATCGTTTAAAATGAACAATACAAAACAGAGTTTTGCAGGAGTTGTAGTTGCAATACCTGTCATTTGAACGAACAGCTGTAGTTTGTAATCACACATATCATAATTGATAAAACAGAATTATATCATTTGTGATATAAAACAATCATTAATCGTAGCAGACCACAGCGTGTAAATGTGTTGTACTCTACATGGACTGTCTGTAAAATATGCATATTGAATATATGTAAATACAAGAAATTAGCATAACTACTATTATATTGAGGAGCCTTGCTTCGACACATTGCTTGAAGATCTTGCGTTTACCTTAGCTTAGATATGTCGCTTTTTAATTGTATGTACTGAAAAATGACGTCATATTTAGGCTAGAGAGGAAATTGGTGTCTATGTAAATACTTGGAGATTTGTAGAGCGCATTGTGTTCAGGACGTCTGCGATTGTCATTCGTTAGTGCACCAGATTCGTGCTGGCATTTCAGTAATCGCGATGTGTTTCACGCAAACTTCAACTTTTAGCAAATAACACAAGGAAGAACTACCTACGTAAGAACCCGTATCTTTGCCCAGACATTTGAAAACGTTTCAAAGTTTGATTTTCAAAAATTGATCATTTCAATTTTTGTCTGATAAATTTATAAATTTGTCAGTGTATAATACATAATCAAGTTTTTGTCAGTGAGTTACTCGACTGTGAGAAGTTCATCGTTCGAATATTCATAGGATATGGCTGTGATTGCTCACGGGTCCCATAGCTCCCCTCTCCTTTTAGTGTATATTGCTCGTATAATATACACTATACAAATTGAGTATTTACAATATCAAAATTATATTTATATGTGGCATACTATATGTAATTAGTCAAGTATATGTGAGATTTTCCAAACAGAAAAATACTTAGTTTAGATTGGCACAACATCTCTAAGTTTCAAATCTCTGGAAGTTGCAATTTCTAGACCGTTTACTAAGCTTCCCCTTCATACCAGGAATAATAAAGTTGCAATAATTTGCATTAAGATGGCAATTTATCCCTATATGTTCACGGTAACCTAGGGGAGGAGATTTTGGAGATTACGTCATCACTAAAACAAATAGTACACTTTTATCATTTATGTACAGCGTTACAAATTATGTACTTTGTTGGAATAAATGTATGCATGTTTTCTCACATTTTCTGGGTGTTTTTTTTTTTATTTTGATTCACTTTTGGTACTACTTTGACATCATTACAGCGTTACGCAAAACTCGTTTTACTATTGTGAGTGTCCGTGCAAGAACTCGCATCTAATTTATAGTGAACTATTATACTAGGTATCCATGCAACATGAGAATAATGTGCAATAAAATATCTATACAATAAAATTCACAGGAATTACCAATCTGTCTTGCTTCTCGTACGTTTTAAAGTTTTAATATCCATAACGATATATTCAACGTCCATTATGATGCTACTCGCTGAATGCGCTCTTAAATCCGGATTGTACACATGCCGTGTCTTACCAAATGAAATTAACCACATTCAATTATTTATCACGTGAACGTAAATTTGACGAGAATAATACATTAACCCGTACCGTTTCGGGTTTTTACATCCACGGCCGTGTCAAATAGAATAATACTGGTCGTATTTGCACCCTATAACCTTCATTTCATTCACAGACTGTTTGAATATTACAGTCCAGTTGAATGGTGTACGTCGTGTCAAAAGGTAACTTTTTGTTCGTGGCACACAGATCAACCTCACAACCTGAACCTGCTTTAACTGCAAAAGTTTTTTGAGACCTAACTCTGGGACTTTACGTATCGTGGTTCTGATAAGCGATTTGGTGGGAGGGCAGGGCGCCCTCATGAGACGTCATCGAGCTTTCGCGTTCCATGCTTTTTTCTCAACGATTTAGTATGCGGACAAGGTCGTCCTCACAACGCCCTTCCAAATAATTTGTGTTTTTTTTTTCAAAACACACTGTGTATTAAACTTCCCTCTCACCCTAATAACTGAATTGGTGGATGATCAGGACATTTTTGAATAGATTTCTTTCTGTTCAATAAATATTTCCATTGCTTTTTGATAAATTTTAAGATCATAATGAAGTGCTTGGGAAACATCGGAGTCCGCTTCAAGTTGTTTTTTCAAATTTTTTATAATTCGATCTCGATCTCCTTTTCCTTTATAGTCAGACTGGTATGTAACAAGACTATTACATTGATCATAGAACGGCAGACCGTACACTTTTTGTAAAAGTTTCAACGACATAGCAAAATCTTCAGTAACTCCGATCACCGCAAACCACTTCTTTAAATTCCCCAAGACATATTCGAGTAAGGCCTCCTTCTCTGCCCTGTCCAGAACCCCTTCCAGGTAAATTTTTTGTCGGTACCAACACGGTGCCGATAAAGGAAACGAGACCACATCAGATTGGTCGTCATAGGAACCATGAGAATTGACAACGTCATCTGAGAAGTTTGCGCAGAGTTTTGTTGGGTTATACAGAAGTTGTCTGAAAAAGTAACTACCTTGCAGTAATGCCCATTGTTTGAGTGTCGAGGTTGTAGGATTGGCGCCCTCACACAACGGGTCTACAACGTTCATCCTGCAATACTCGTAGCTGGATATGACGCGCTCGTATGGGTCCCGCAGCATGGTGAAATACGAACACTTGTTGTTATGAAAATCATCACAAACACCAAACGCGTTCTCCCCTACGTAACATTTCTTGTCTCCTCTACCAATGATTATTTCATTCTCAATATGGTCCGCCCCGTTCTTATCGTAGATTCCGACACATCTAGGCACCTTTTTTCTGTCCTTTCCCCTGATTTTTTTCAGACATATTTTAACAGTTGATCCGCCGGCTTTCTGGTGATGCAGGAATACCATGGTGTTGTTGTGAGACGCTGTGTCATAGTCCTCAATGCGCCCTCTATATATGAAGTAGTTTGGGTGGTACGACGTTCGTTCGAACCATGGGTGTTTGGAAATTACTCTAGATAACACCTGTCTTCTCCTGTGTTCCAGTGCGCCTTCATCGAAAGCTGTTGTGACTTTTTTATCGATTCTGAGAAATGAAAAGTGTGTGGTATACAGTAATGAATAAGCCATCTAAATAAGCAATGTATATGTGTTGCGTAAATTGGGTTCAAAACAGTGGTGCATACCCTAATACTTCTACTATATGGAAGTACCACCTCGGACCACCTCACCCCTCATAAAATATATATCTACCTATGGACAAATCCTCGAACAAAAAAAAAAAAACTGTTGCCACTTTCTCGTAAATATCTGACCCCGGGCAACTTAACACGTTTCTTAAGATAAAATATAGATTCTGACATATTAAATATTTTTGTATTCCATTGGGACATTAACGAACACGACCAATGAGAATACACGCGTCATCCTACAAATTGATTACTTGTGGATATTAGTGCGGAGATTTTGGAGCTGGAGTTTCCATGACTAAAATATCAGACCACGAAGGACATGAGAGAAGGGAAGTGAATAAATATAATCAGTCCCCTCTCCGATTCGTCCGTTTTTCATGCGATTTTGACAGGCTATTTGCCCATCCAAAATGTAGGATTTTGGTTTACTCAGTTTCTCGTATCCAATTGTTCGTCTCGCGTGCGATTGACTCGGTAACTTGTATCCTGCATGGTGTCCATCCCAGTGGCAAAGACTCGCAGTTCATTTACTCAAAGACTATGACGAGTAATTATTGCGAATCACCAGTGCGCACAGGTCCATGGGAAAGAAGGTATCATATCATATCACCAAATAGGTAGGATTTTTTAAGCTTCAGTTATAAAAAAAAATCAGTGACCCGTAGTTCTGAGTGAATTAAACAATTCTAAAGTGTGTTTTTTTTTTTTGCTTCTGAGATTTTTTTCAATCCGTAGAGAGTTTCTACTGAGATTTAGTTACACGAAAATTGTATCAATAAATTGGAGTTTTTCATTTGTTAAACGTTTTTTTATGAAGAACGAAAACCCAACGTTATGATTGTGATGTTTTGACATATATGAAACCGTGAAACCGTACAATGGGGTGCAGCATTTAATGTCCATCGTGACTAGGATAAGTTAAAGTGACTGAATTATGCACGGATACACAGTGCAATAACACATGCTCTTTCACTGTTGCTAAGCGACTAATAATGTTCCACACATATAGCATAATACATGATTATCATGATTGATCACTATGACTATTGTAAATATAGAGCAAAGTGAAATAACAAAAAAAGACATAAATACAAAACAATTTGAATGCACAGTATTAGATCACATTCACCGAATCAAATATCACTTTTAACTTTAACCGACGTTGAATGACATTGTACATACAGACGCCGTGCATATAAAGGCTTTTTTGCCACAAAGTTTACTGTGTTTGAGATTATCTTTTTATCACAATGGCATTATGGAATAGGGTATATTAGCAATATTGAAATATTATCGCGCATAAGAAAGTTGGAAAAAGTACAGAAACCGTCTATCAGGTTGATACGCCAAAAATAGTGTAATGACGCGAATTTAAAAGAACGCATCACCTATAGTAATATGGCCATAGTGTGACTTCAAGCAAATTATCTTTTTAGTTTATATATTACCCACCGTTCATCAGCTCTGTCATTTGAAACCACGGTATGTAGTGTATAGAATAAAATCAGTGAAAATATCACGAAGGTTATCGATCTTATTATTCGGAGCATTCCATATGTCCGAAACGCCAATAGATTCTTCATCACTGTGTCATCACCTCGATGTGAATCCAATAAAACGCAAACCGGTTGGTAACGGGTGAATGTATATATATATATATGATTACTGTAGGATTTGGTGCAACAGGTGGCGATTTGCATGCCGTGAACTCTGACCTCGGTGTGTTTTGGTGCCATCCAATGACAGCAACCCCAACCGTTGCTATGGATCTATTCCGTGGTCTGGACATATAGACCGCTTATGATATAATATGTTCTTAAATTGAATCAGTACTGCTCGGTTACCGCCTTGGTTAGACTCGTCTCCAATAATTCATGAAAGATATGATACTTCTTTTTTTAAATATTCTCTATATCTGACTTCCGAGCATGACGCATACATTGATCAATGAGACTGGTGTTTATGGCGTCATTTGACCGATCGTTTTTCGCAGCAGCTGTGACATGGACATGGTGAACAATAGAATATGAGGTTTCAAGCGGAATCACGTGCCCGGGGTAACAAAATAACAACGTTTTTAGTTTTAGAGCGAATGTCAAAGACGAAATTAGCGGGCATATTAATGGCTGACTCCACGTCTACCACATCCCAGAGTTACGGTAACAAATTGACACCTTGACAACCTACGTTGCCTGACCACCCAAGCTCATCGAGAAACGCGAGTATTCACAGATCAAGAAACTGTGTTTTGTATATTTATCACCCGGTAGTGATATTTTTTGTTATTTTGTCGTCGTTTTTTTTTTTTAATTTTCACTCATGGCGGCCTCGGACACAATGGTGGTTAAGCGACGAATTAAGACAGAGCCTAGTTCTATGTTGGCGATTACTGTCTTCATATCCATAATCGGAACATACAGTTTAATAATACAATGTTTCAGGTAAGAATTATTCGCTCCATTCACATAGTAAGCCCAGGTACCGACTCCGATATATGTTAAGGTACAATAGAAAGACCCATACATGCATTGACACACATAATGCACTATGCAGATATTAAAGACACAAAATAATATACCACATATACAAATGTAGATTTCGCATTCACATAACAATGTCAATGTTCGTGGAGTATTAGCTGGTCGAGTGTATTCGTCATTTTTGGTTACATTTTACACCCGCAGACTTCTGTATATTTGTTTCATTTCACATTGATTCGATGACTCCTCTAAGCTCTGGTTCTACGGTTGTATATACTCGGTACAATGTGAGAACTGAAAGCTGGTATCAACATATTTCTATTTTCAGATTGTAGGAATATCCATTTTTTATTTTCAGATTGGAAGAATATCCATTCCTAATTTCAAATTAGAAGAATATCCATTCCTATTTTCAAATTGGAATAATATTTATTCCTATACACCTAAGTAAATTATGTCACTCACCTATTAGCAATCACACGTTTATGGCGAGTTACGTGTAGCTAAAATGGTGACGTCACGTGAAATATTATGTTATGAGGTGCAATATTTACACATATAAACAACACTTATACTGCGAGAGATTGTTTTTTGTTTGTCAGCTATGTGTCTGGTGCATGGGCAATAACTATATTACAGCATGTATTATCCTTGTTTTCTTATTTCGTACATTTGGCTTGGAATTATATGAAATAAAATATACAAAGAACTTGAAAAACTAATTTTGTTCAACCTTCAAAAAATAATGGAATGGGGCACACTTCGTATGTTAGTCATAAGAATGTTACTAATGTATTTGTTTTTATGTTTGTGCTCCCAATCAGAGACAATGACATACGTGAAATCAAACGCGATGATGCCGTGGAGCTCGCATCGATGCCTTTCTGGAACAGCACTATGATGGAAACGTCTACTTTAACAGTCACGACCACGTCCTTTACAGTGGAACGAAATGAAACAACAACAATCAAAACAAGTATGGAAGTTACGCTCGAAGATTTGCTGGATCGGTTTCCATGGATACAAAGAAAGCGTTTTACTCCAAACCATTTCATGTACCGTCACCGCGGTGAGACTTCTCCGGTGCCGAGTTATAAAGATCACAGTATCGTGTTTTTGCATAATCATAAATCTGGTGGCACCACTATGAAAACATGCTTACAGAAAATAATTGAAGTTCGATCGTTGGCGCCATATTACGGTTTGTGGAACGATAATGTCGTCCGGGCAATTGAAACCGCTAGGACACTGGAAGAAAAGTCTAGGCTTTACGTCACACCATACGCTTTCGGTCTGTGCGATACAATAGACGAACCACGTTGTTCCTATTTCACCGTACTTAGGGACCCCTATGAACGAGTCATCTCTTCGTACGAGTACTGTAAAAAAGCTCGCGTCGACCCGCACTGTGCCGCGAGCGATGCCAGGCAGCTTTCTTTGAAAGAGTGGGTTTTACACCAAGGAAGCTATTTCTTCAGACAGTTATTATTCAATCCAGAAGAAATTTGCTCGGACTTGACGAGACGGCAGCAAGTAGTCAAATTAATTGATAAGGACGAGTACCTGGGCCGGAAAAGACGATATCCGCCATGTTGGTATCGACATAAACTTCTTCTAGATGACGTCATCACCAAACAAGAAAAACAGGTTATCTTACAGTACATGTTAGATAACTTGGAAAACTGGTTTACTGCGATCGGAATTACAGAAGAATATGACACAACATTGAGACTTTTGCAAACCGTTTTCAAACTTCCATTTTACTGGCAGTGCTCGGGGTTAGTAGAACAACGAACAAAATACAGCATGCAGAAACAGTCTACGTTATCGAAATTCGACGCCATGGCCAAATCGAAACAGTCTATCGAGAATGACCCGGAAGTATTTAGCGCGTTGTACTATGATATCATGATCTACAGGAAAGCTATGGAAATTTTTGATATTCAAAAAAAGGTTTATTTTGGGGAAGTTATGGAGTCCCTCGGTAAACAGTTAAATAAAGCAAAACATTGAAAATTTTTTGTTTCTATGTACTGTCAATTTTATTTATTTCAGAAACAATATTTAAAGCAGTCAAACCCTGCACGATTATCTGGCATAATGGGTTTAGTGCATTAGCAGAACAGATATGTGTGAATATTCATAAAAGCCTTGTTTTCTTAACGCCACAATCTACTATTAAGAACGTAGAATAATCTAGAAATAAATTAGGAATATATCATCGCATTGGGCTCTGAATACATTTGTTAGACAGGGTGTGTGGAGGTTATATTCAAAGGGCGGCAGTCGTCGCGCCGCGTCTGATATGGGACTCATAGCGACGTATACAACGCGTGTAAAATACATTGTTTATTTACATGAAATTCGAACACGCGCTGCGCGACGACCACCGCGCTTTAACATTGCCGACAAGGATAACCCATGTTTCTTGCTTGTTATTGAAATGTTTCTAGTATCCTTGTGGGTACGATTTGGCATCATTCTGGTAGCACAACACTGTATTCACATAATGATGATAACGTACATTACCCCAATGTATTAGTAGTTTAGTGTCAGTGAAAAAAAAGCATGGGGAACGTGACGTCATGTTGCTATACCCGGATGTTATGCAGCAGCTTTTTTTTCAATCTAAATGATACAAAATGAGCGAAATACAATAATAACTATATCTGCTATTCAAATACAAATTGCTGCCCGCGCATTTTACAGATGTGTCACGGTGCACGTGTTGTTTGTGCATGATTGGTATAATTCCTCGGGAATTATGGATAAATTCAATCCGATACCCGGTACAGTACCTGAACGAGCCAAAGAAAACGCTACTAGTAAGTTAAGAACATCTATCTTATTTTATGCCTACTAAAAATAATATCTGAATTAAAATTGATCAAGGTCAAAAAAGGTCTTTATTGGCTCAGTTTAGAGTGAGTATTCTTCCTTTATAAATTAAAACTGATTGATTTCTAACTTGGCCATTGGGAATTTTTATTTATATGCAATTTTCTCTTCTCTCTCTAAACTCCACAAGTATTATTTCCAAACAAATGATATATATAATGGTTTTGATTCTTTAAATACAATTACTAGATTGGAACCATCAACGAATTCGAGCTGTGACGTATATTCAAAAAGTATTTACAAAGAGATGTCATGAATTTGTTTTCGCGTATCTGTTAACCGACTTAATTAACTGATTATTAGCGAATTGCTGTGTTATGTCTGTCATCGTGTAGGCCTATTTGAAGTTTTGGACGGAACTTGGCTCAGTGGTTTAGAACTAATTACAAGATACCGTCGCTATTCTGACATCCGTAGTTATTAATGTAGTGAACGATTAATCAAAAGATATGACGTATTCAGTACTTAGTGTGATTGGCTTTATGATTGAAGGTTACGCCCTAGAGTCTTTTTACTGCATTGTAATTGGTCAGAGTTTTGAAAATGAATAAAGAGAGTTTGAGTTGGTCTTAAAGAGTACTCTACGATAGACGCAGTCTGAGAGTAGAGAGAGACGCAGTCCGAGAGAGTCCAGGGGCGAGCCTTGAGGCAGTCCAGTCTTGGGCGAGTCTTGGGTCAGCCTTGCGAGAGTCTTGGGGATTTTTTCCCCAGGGCGCTGTGTCTGATAGAGTGCTCGATTGACCGACTAAGACGAGAGCTGAAACGTATTTCGTTGTGTGTGCCTTATTTGACTGTAAAGTTAAAGTGACTTTCCCGATCCCGTACCTCAAGGGGACGAGATAGAGAGACGAGACGAGTTCCCTCCCTGGCAAGTGTGGAGAACCCCGAGAGAGAAGATTTACCCCATGACACGTGGTGTGAGAACCCTGGGCATTGCGTCTTACGCACATTGACATCCTGTGAAGAAAAGTGAAATGGCGAAGATGTGTCTTTCTTGTGAACCGAACTAACTAGCAGCGATGGCAGAGACGACTCGGAAACTGCGTTTGACGACTAACGACTTTACCCGAACGACACCGATGTACAACGCTGAAGAGATGAAGATTTCAGAACCCCTTCGGAAGGACCAGTACCGGATAGGACTGTATAATTAAGAATTGAGCGACATTAAAGACAAGAAGATGAAAGAACGACCCGGACTAACGCGACAAAAGAAGAGACGCTTATAGACTTTGACTTTAGCTATTTGCTTAG